GCCAGCATCAAAATAGCAGGATCCAATTCACACCTAACAATATTAACCTTAAATGTAAAGGGGCATTTAGCCTTTTTCAATCAAAAGACACAGATTGGCAAATTGAATAAAAAGTCAAGACCCATCAGTGTGCTGTATTTTGCAGACCCATCTCATGTGAAAAGACACACATAGACTCAAAATAAAGGGATGGAGGAAGATGTACCAAGCAAATGGAGAGCAAAAAAAGAGCAGGGGTTGCAATCCTAGTCTCCAATAAAACGAACATTAAACCAACAAAGATCAAAAGAGACAAAGAAGGACATTACATAATGGTAAAGGGATCAATGCACCAAGAAGAGCTAATGATCCTAAATATATACAGACCCAATACAGGAGCACCAAGATACATAAAGCAAGTTCTAAATGACCTACAAAGAGACTTAGATTCCCACACAATAATAGTGAAAGACTTTTACACTCCACTGTCAATATTAGTCAGATCAATGAGACACAAAATTAACAAGGATATCCAGGACGTGAACTCGGATCTGGACCAAGCAAACCTAATAGACATCTACAGAACTCTTTACCCCAAATCCACAGAATGTACATTCTTCTCAGCACCGCATCACACTTACTCTAAAATTGACCACATAATTGGAAGTAAATCACTCCTTAGCAAATACAAAAAAATGGAAATCATAACAACCAGTATCTCAGACTACAGTGCAATCAAATTAGACCTCAGGATTAAGAAATTCACTCAAAACCGCAAAACTACATGGAAACTGAACAACCTGCTCCTGAATGACTACTGAATAAATAATGAAATGAAGGCAGAAATAAAGACTTTCTTAGAAACCAATGAGATACAACATATAAGAATCACTGGGACACATTTAAAGCAGTGTCTAGAGGGAAATTTATAGCACTAAATGCCCACATGAGAACCGAAGAAAGTTCTAAAATCAACATCCTATTGTCAAAATTTAAAAAAAAAACTAGACGAGCAAGACCAAATAATTTCAAAAGCTAGCAGAAAACAAGAAATAACTAAGATCTGAGCAGAACTAGGGAGATAGAGACACAAAAATCCCTTCAAAACATCAATAAATCCAGGAACTGGTTTTTTGAAAGGATCAACAAAATAGACCACTAGCCAGATTAATAAAAAAGAAAAGAGAGAAGAATCAAATAGATGCAATAAAAAATGGTGAAGGGGATATCACCACCCATTCCACAGAAATACAAACTACTATCAGAGATTACTACAAACAACTCTATGCACATAAACCAGTAAATCTAGAAGAAATGGATACATTCCTGGACACTTACACCCTCCCAAGACTAAACCAGGAAGAAGTTAAATCCCTTAATAGACTAATAACAAGGTCTGAAGTTGAGGCAGCAATTAATAGCCTACCAACCACAAAAAGGTCCAGGTCCAGAAAGGTTCACAGACAAATTCTATCAGATATACAAAGAGGAGCTGGTACCCCTCCTTCTGAAACTATTCCAAACAATATATAAAAAAAGGAATACTCCCTAATTCATTTTATGAGACCAACATCATCCTGATACCAAAATCTGGCAGACACACAACAAAACAAGAAAATTTCAGGCCAATATCCATGATGAACATTGATGCAAAAATCTTCAATAAAATACTGGCAAATTGAATGTAACAACACATCAAAAAGATCATCCATCACAATCAAGTAGGCTTCATCCTGGTGATGCAAGACTGGGTCAAAATATGCAAATCTATAAACGTAATCCATCACATAAACAGAACCAAAGACAAAAACCACATGATTATCTCGAAGATTCAGAGAAGGCCTTCGACAACATTCAACAGCCCTTTAGGCTAAAAACTCTCAATAAACTAGGTACTGATGGAATGTATCTCAAAATAATAAAAGTTATTTATGACAAACCCACAGCCAATATTATACTGAATGGACAAAAACTGGAAGCATTCCCTTTGAAAACTGGCACTAGACAAGGGTGTCTTTTCTCACCATTTTTATTCAACATAATATTCGAAGTTCTAGCCAGAGCAATCATGTAAGAAAAGGAAATGAAGGGTATTCAGTTAGAAAAATAGGGAGTCAAATTGTCTCTATTTGCAGATGACATAGTGTCTCAGCCCAGAATCTCCTTAAGATGATAAACAACTTGAGCAAAGTCTCAGGATAAAAAATCATTGTGCAAAAATCACAAGCATTCCTATACACCAATAACAGACAAAAAGAAAGCCAAATCATGAGCTAACTCCCATTCACAATTACTACAGACAGAATAAAATACCTAGAAATACAACTAACAAAGGACATGAAGGACCTCTTAAAGGAGAACTACAAAACTGCTGCTCAAGGAAATAAGAGGAAACACAAACAGATGGAAAAACATTCCATGCTCATGGTTAGGAAGAATCAATATCATGAAAATGACCATACTGCCCAAAGTAATTTATAGATTCAACACTATCCCCATCAAGCTACCACTGACCTTCTTCAGAGAAATGGAAAAACCCACTTTAAACTTCATATGGAACCAAAAGAGAGCCCACATAGCCAAGACAATCCTAAGCAAAAAGAGTAAAGCAGGAGGCATCACACTACCTGACTTCAAACTATACTATAAAGCTACAGTAATCAAAACAGCATGGGACTAGTATCAAAATAGAGATATAGACCAATGGAACAGAACAAATGCCTCAGAGGCAACACCACACATCTACAACCATCCGATCTTTGACAAACCTGACAAAAACAAGCAATGGGGAAAGGATTCCCCATTTAATAAATGGTGTTGGGATAACTGGTTAACCATGGGCAGAAAGCTGAAACTGTATCCATTCCTTACAACTCATACAAAAATTAACTCCAGATGGATTAAATATTTAAACATAAGACCTAACACAATAAAACCCTTAGAAGAAAACAAAGGCAAAACCATTTAGGACATAGGCATAGGCAAGGACTTCATGACTAAAACACCAAAAGCAATGGCAACAAAAGCCAAAATAGACAAATGGGATCTAATTAAACTCCAGAGCTTCTGCACAATAAAAGAAACAATCATTAGAGTAACCAGCAACCAACACAATGGAAAAAAAGTGTTTGCTATCTACTTATCTGACAAAGGGAATATCCAGAATCTAAAAAGAACTAAAACAAATTTACAAGAAAAAAATAAACAACCCCATCAAAAAGTGGGTGAAGGATATGAACAGGCACTTTTCAAAAGAAGACATTTATGTGGCGAACAAATGTGAAAAAGTGCTCATCATCACTGGTCATTAGAGAAATGCAAATCAAAACCACATTGAGATACCATCTCATGCCAGTTAGAATGGTGACCATTAAAAAACCTGGAAACAGATGCTGGAGAGGATATGGAGAAACAGGAACACTTTTACACTGTTGGTGGGAGTGTAAATTAGTTCAACCCTTGTGGAAGACAGTGTGACAATTCCTCAAGAATCTAGAAATAGACATACCATTTGACCCAGCAATCCCAATACTGGGTATATATCCAAAGGATTATAAATAGTTCTATTATAAAGACACATGCATACCTATGTTCACTGTGGCAATGTTTACAATAGCAAAGACCTGGAACCAACCCAAATGCCCATCAAGAATAGACTGGATAAAGAAAATGTGGCACATGTGCACCATGGAATACTATGCAACCATAAAAAAGGATGAGTTCATGTCCTTTGCAGGGACATGGATAAATCTGGAAACTATCATTCTCAACAAACTGACACAAGGACAGAAAATCAAACACCACATGTTCTCACTGATAGGTGGATGTTGAACAATGAGAACACATGTATACAGGGAAGGGAACATCACACACTGGGGTCTGTTGGAGGGTGGGGGGCTAGGGGAGTAATAGCAGGGGTGGGAAGATTGGGGAGGGATAACATTAGGAGAAATACCTAATGTAGGTGAAGGGGGGATGGAGGCAGCAAACCACCATGCCATGTGTATGCCTTTGTAACAATCTTACAAGATCTGCACATGTATCCCAGAACTTTAAAGTATAAAAAGAAAAGAAAAGATTTAATGGAAACTTTCTGGGTGCCAGGCATTGTACTCCATGCATCGTATCACATTAAATCCTCGCAGCAACTCTATGAAATAGGAACTACTGTTATCTTCACTTTGTACATGAAGAAACTGAGGCTCAGGGAAACAAAGGTGTCCAAGTTCACATAGCTAGTGAATGGTGAAGCCAAGAATCAAGTCTAGGCATTTGGTTATGTTTTACTGTCTCTCATACATTCTTAAGACATTTCAGTTACTACATTATTATTAGGTTGCTTTAAAATTGGTTGAAAAATCCTTATCTGTATAAAAAATTGTGTGTGTTTCAAATTCCCATTAGCTCCTCTGTATTTTTTTCATATCAAAGATGTTCTAGGAAGTACGAGTACCTTCTAAAAATCATACATTTGTATGACAAGTAATACTTTAAATTTTGTTTTCTAAAGCTTGCTTGATTGTTTCATAATTTTTCTTAGTTCCCTTATATTTATTTTTAAAAACTTATATGAATACTTTCAAAATGCATTTTAGTTATCTGGGGCTTTGCTAATTCTTTAGAGGAGCAATGATGCTTTTAGGTCTTACTACTATTCTGAATGAAAAGAGGCAGATTTGAGACTGGAAGTTAGGTTGGACTGGCTTCAATCTAACTAGCTTATAAAATATTTTAACCAATTAGAATGTTTTCTCTAGTATAAACACAACATTTTAACTAGGTAAATGGCCAACTATGTTACCCAAATAATTTCCTGAAATATTATTTCTTTGCTAAGGTAATTTATGGTAATAGTGCAATAAGCAGACTTATGAACAGGTTTATATATGATTTTTTAGTTCTATATGTCTTCTAATATTTCAGGTATTTGTTGACATTGATATTTAGAAAGAAAAAACACATTTCAAAAGCCACAAAGTTTTGAAATTGAATTCACAGTTCAATATTTAATACAAAATTACCTTTTTCATTGTTTCTTTTCCCACTGTAATTCACGTCCATCCTGCCCCATGCCATTCTTAAAGAACAGAATTCGGACTGAAGTCCTCTCAGTAAGTTTCTTCATTCTAATAGAAAGAACAGGCTTGGTTTTCTGTCTTTTGACATCAGTAGGAAGCATCAACCCATTCATTGTCCAAGTTACTTTCTTCATTAACAACAGATGGTCTAGAAGATAATTTTTTAAGTCAAGTAAATATTTGGCTTCAAAATTAAAAATGGACACATCATACTTCCCTCCTTCTATTAGCTGTGTAACATACACTGTCCAGTCTCCATTTAGATGCCGGTTTTCTGAAATGCTACCACCAGCTTCCTACTAACTGTGACATAAGCTGTAGCAAGCTGTCTGCTCTGATAGCCTGCATAAATCATCATTTCTGAAGGGAACAGATGTTCAGGGTATGAAAGAGTAATACTACAATTTAGTCCTAATTAAAATTCACCTTAGCATGCCTCTATTACTGATTAGATGCACCCAGCTGAAAGGGACCATTGAAAAGGTCCAATGTCCTTTGCTTCCTATAAAACAACATAGGTCCTGAACTTTTAATGTCTTTAGGGTTGGGAAACATTTATTTTCTCTTGAATATTATTTCTTATCCATTTTGCTTTAAAGATGATGACCTACAAATAGTAACATTATACTATAATTCTTCTTCCGTGACTATAAGGAAGGTGCCTTCTAGGACATCCTTGGTGAGATATTTAAACTATTTGATTGAAAATGAGTAACAGTTTTTCATTAACAGTTTACTTTGACCTATATATTTTCAATGCTGTGCACGAAAATTTAAGTTTCAAAATTCCCATTAATATAAATGGGAGTGCAACTAAATTATTATGTATGACTTTGAAAATGTAAGGGTAAGAACAGGAGTGCAGTATATTGCATACTAAGTTGCTGCCAGCATTCTCTTTTCAAGAGGTTTTGTTTCATAAATAAATAATTTGCACCTGAGTTACTTATTTGTACATTCAATTTATTTTTATCATATTTTCTTCTTACATAAATTACAAAAATACAATGATCCCTCCCTCATCTGCTCTCATTTGTTCTGAAACATAATTTTATTTATAGATAACTGAAAGTAGCTGCATTTATTGCTATTTCGCATTGAAATTTGCCCAAATTTTCAAAAGATCTTTCTCTGTTAGCACTTACCTTGAAAGAAGCTTGGCCTCTATGACTCAGAAATGTTATTTTACATAAAATCTGCTAATATTGATATGAAAAACAAGCCAGTGGTTATAAATAACCTTCAAGTCTCAGAATGGCTATATTAAATGTTCAGCAATAACAACAAAGAAAAATCCTCTATTCTTTCACCCCCCTTTTCTCTCTGTTACCTCACACATATACACATATAAAAACAAATATACGGTGGTATACAGATAAACAAAACTTGCAGATTAAATTAAAACTAAATTATAAGACTATAGACATAATCCTTCAAAAAAAGAAAAAACATTTTAACGGAAATTTGTTAGTATTTTCATTTTGTAAACTGAAAATAATAGGAATTAGAAATTATAACAGAAAAATGAGCTATAAGTTAATGAGTTCATAAATAACCAAAAAATTGAAAACAGATACTCAAGTAAATACATGTACACATATGTTCATAGGAGCAGTATTCACAATAGCCAACATGTGGCAACCAAATATCCATCAATAGATGAATGGATAAACAAATTGTGGTACAATGTATATACATAAATGGAATATTATTCAGCCATAAAAAAAGAATGAAGTACTGATACTTGCTTCAATATGGACAAACCTCAAAAACATTATGCTAAATCAAAGAAGCCAGACATAAAAAAGGTGACATATTGTATGATTCCATTTACGTGATATATCAGAATAGGTAAATCTATAAAAACAGAACATAGACTGATGGTTGCCAGTGGCAGGGAAGAGAGGGGATTGAAGAGAAGCTTAATGGGTAATGAGTTTTATTTTGAAATGATGGAAATATTTTGGAACTAGATAGAGATGTTACATAACAATGTGACTAAATGCTACTAAATTATTCACTTTAAAATTATTAATTTTGCATTATGTGAATTGTGTTATGTGACCTCAATAAAAAAGAAGAAAGAAAAAGAGGAGGAGGAGGTCCTATAGGTGCCAATCATAGTCAGTATTCATCTAGGAAAAAAAAAAATCTCTCACGGGGGGGGGGAAAAATGAATGAATTATTGTAGTTTAATGGGCGTTTACCCAAAATCTGTATGCCCCTAGAGGCTTTGCATGTGAAGAGGTATTAACTCTACCTTCAAACTACATTTGAACCCTTAGCTCTGTTTCTTAGTGACACTAGATGCATTATACCTCCTTGAATCTCAGATTTCTCATTAACAAAATATCTAGTGAGCATCACTCCACTACCTGATAGGGATTAAATATCTTATATGTAAAATTACCTAACATATTGAAGTGACTCCATAAATGTTAGCTTATTCCCTCACCTCCCTGAAATCCTATTGGTTATTAAGGAGCTCTGGAGTATATAAATTGTTACATCAGTCACGGTCCAATCAGGAAAACAGAATCCACTCAAGAGTATTTGAGCAGAGGGAACTGACTCCAGAGAATTAATTATGTAAGTGATAGAAAAGGGTGAGAAGCAACCAAAGGACAGTTAGGCAAGGCAGAGATTAGAAAGAGCAAGAAACCACTCCCATTAAGGCCAGAGAGAGGAAACGTTACTGGTGCCCAGATTTAGAGATCTTGCTGATAAAGGGTTTTCCCTTTGATGACTTTGACCAAGGCCAGGACTAGAGCGAGGGGAGTGAAGGTCTTTGAGGCAAACTTTAAGGAAGCCTGTGCAGGGCCCTCGCACAACCCTCAGAGTGAGTACCTCCTCAAATTGTGTCCCATTGGTGCTTCACTCACCCAACTCTAGTCTCAGCCCCGGCTTAACCTGTCTCTTTTACATGCAGAACTCCTTAAATTCCATGAAAAATAATGTTCTAGCCAGACTCTATTTATATGATTTATAGATATTAATTTAATTCTCTCAACAACTTAATGAGATAGGTAATATTATTATCCTTTACAGTTGAGGAAACTGAGGCACAGAGGCATTAACTTGACCAAGATCTTACAGCTGGGATGTGGTGACACTGGGATATGAAATTAGTTCAAGAAGCTGTGTTCCTTGCTCCTAATCACTGCACTCTTCTGCCTCTACCATATCTCTCAAATTCAATGTCTAAAGCAAAATCTCATATCTTTCTGCACAAACTGACTCACCCTTCACAGTTCTTATTTCTTTCAGGGTTTCCACTTCTTTCACAGTTATCCAATCTCTCAACTAGACCTTGAACCCACGCTGCTTATTCATTTCTCTCCAACTATTTTCTTATTCATTCAACAATATATATTAGGTGTCCACATGTCAAGGCACCAGGGTGACAATTAGAAGGAAGACAGAGCTGCTTGTGCAGTTCACAGCCTCTGGCTGAGAAACTGACAGTGGAAGGGCTGTTTGAACAGAGAGCCTCATGTGATGAGAAGTTAGTTGTGAAAATTTGGGGGAAAAGTATTCCAGGCAGAGTGAAAACCAGACACAGAGGCTCCAAGTGAGAATAGGCCTGGCATGCTTAAGAAAGAAAAATAAAGTTTGAATACAGAGAGAGTGAACATGGTTAAAGCCGAAAAGACAGAAAGGGGCCACACTGTGCAGGTCAAGATAAAGGATTTGAACTTTATTCCAGATGTGATGGAAGCTGTTGGAAGATTCTCAGCAGGGTGGTGCTATGTGAAGAAAATATAGTTATCCCTGGGTATCCATGGAGGCTTGGTTTCAAGACCCCTAGAATATCAAAATCTGTAGATGTTCAAGTCCTTTATATAAAATGTAGTTGTATTTGTATACAACCTACACACATCCCTGTATACTTTAAATCATCTCTAGATTATTTATACTACCTAATACAATGTGAATGCTAAGTAAATAGTTGTTATACGTATTTTTGTTTATATTAGTTTTTATTGTTGTATTTTTATTTTTTATAGCTCTTTTTTTCCTGAATATTTTTGATTCATAGTTGGTTGAACACACAGAAGCAGAGCCCATGGATACAGAAGGTCAACTATAGTGCTGAGTGTAGTAGACACTGTTGGTGCCCCACCAAGGTGCCTTTTACCAGGCTAGTGCACTCAGACTCCAGCTGCTGTGAGTCCTGTGACCTTCGCACAGTTGCACCCTTCTGAGAATTGCCTTTGACTGAAAGAAACCTAGTCAGGAAATGCCTGCAAGTTTGTGATCTCCTCCCTCCAACCTAGGAAGACAGCCCACAGCCAATGATTGACTGATTCTGGGACACTGTAGCCAGTGCCCTTGCTTCAAAGTGGGGCAACTCTCTTGTGTCTTTCACATTTCAGACTGGGGCTAGATTTCCAGTGAACACATGGCTTGGCTGTGCTTCTTCCTCTGCTCTAGACTCCTTCTCTCACTCCCTTACATGGTTCAAATAAGAGTATTCCCTCAACAAGTCTCTTGCACCAAAATCCTGACCTCAGGCTCTGCTTCTAGGGAATCTGACCTGAGATACAGTAAAGGAAGGGAGACCTATCAGCTATTCTTTCTTTATAGTAACTCTTAAAAGCATCATTTTTTTTCCATTTCCAACCAGACCCATTTGTCCAGTTCTCTCTCAGCCTCCTAAAATCTGCAAGAGCTTTCTAATTGTATATGATTCGCCTCCATCACATCTGACTTTCTATACTCCAATCCCAGCTGAATTTTCCTAAAACGTTGGTTTTATCATTACTAAAGAGAAAACTCTTGGAAGCTAATTTTTGAAGTTTTCTATTAGCCAGTCAGCCAGCCAGCCAGCCCATCAGGGGTACTCAACAAATACTTGTTGCGAGTATCCTATGTGCAGATCCTGTGCAAGGAATATTTAAAAAGGCCCAGTCCTTTTTCCTAAGCTTATGTCTAACAAGAGCTTACAGATAATTGATGCCATTAAGACAATCGATGCCATTCCAACTTTCTGTTCTTTTCTGACCCTAGTATGAAGCACTATTTTACCTAAGCAAATCTGTTCATTATCCCTGTTCACTTTTAACCCTACACTTCACCTATCAAACTCAAGTCCTTCTCAAGATTTAGTTTAAGATCTTCCCTTATTGCTCCAGCCAGCAATGGCTT